CCACAGCAGATGCTTGGAGTCAGGGACCCTCCGCAAACGCCTCCCAAGCGTGTCAGGTCTGGGAGAAGAGGGATTGTATCTCAGGGACATTATTTCTTCATTCTCTTTCAACAACTGAACCTATTTCCTTCCCGTTGTCTTTCTGTGGGAAGCTATCCATTGCCGGCATCACCGCCACCAGGTCGGAGAACAAGAAGACAGCCGCCAGTCACGGGTGGTTCTCAGCTAGTCAATTGTCAGCAATTTAAAGGGCTCGTCCTTAAAGTCCAAGGAAATCACTAAGGTAGCCCCCCGCCCCCATGCCATGCCATGCCAACTCTTTACTCTATCTGGTCATCAGCAGCCAGTGTGTGCCTAGCAGTCCCTCTGTGTTTGGGAACAAACTTCACTTCCACGCGTGTGCCTCACTGTAGCACTGAAGTGGGTGCCCTGACTTAAAGGAACAGAGACACTTCGCTTAGAGAAGAGCCCGTGGAGACCCACCCTGTACCTAAAGGCCTGCAAAGTCGATGTTTAAAGGAGCAGGGGTTGTGTTTCCTGAGGAAGCAAAGACCAAGGGTTTCCCATTCTTCACGAGTGACAGTGTTTCTCAGCCAGAAGACAGATCTTGGGCTGTGCTCCCTCAGGGATGGAAGGAGGACATGTGTCTAAAGTGACAGCAGGAAAATGTAAAACTGAATTTAAGAAGTTCCTGACAGTTAGGGTTGCGACCCAGGAAACACATTGTCCACATGGCCTGTGGGAGCTCCTTCCCTGGGAAGTTTAAAGCTCAGGGTGGGCAGCTGTTCTGGATGTTTCCGCCTCGTTCCTCCGGACAGCAGGGCTGGCCTGCTGTAAGCCGTCTCATGAGCCCCCCTCGAGTTCCAGGACCATGTGTTACTTTATGTCATCTAGCACAGGTTCACACACAGATACGTGGTAAATCATGCATGATGCACAATTTGGGGCCGCCCAGTTTTGGGGATTAGGATGATGGATCTGGGAACCATCTTATTCCTAAAAACATTTTTACTGTCCTCAGGCCAAACCATCCTTCCCTTTGAGTCTTGGATTGGCCTTCCCAAGTTATTGGTGCTCTTCCAACCATTTTTCTTTCTAAAAAAAAAAACCCAAAAAGGCAAGCATAGGAGGCAGCGTGGATAGCCATAGTAGTCGTGATAAAAGGCCATAATTTATATCGAGCTCTTACCGTGTCCCTGTTCCTGTGCAAAGCGTTGTGCACAGCTTGTTCCAGTTCCTCCTCACAACCCGAGGCAGTAATGACGTTGTTACACCCATTTTACAGATGGGAAGGCTGAGGCTTTAGCAGATGAGTGAGGATTAGGCTAGGGTTCCAGCCCAGGTGCGAGGCCATGCTCAGGTGATTTTACTCAGACTGATCAGGGCCCATCGCTGACTTCCATCACTCTGTAGCTGGGGTCTGAGGCACACCACTTCAGCTCTCTAAGCCTCACTTTCTTTTGTTGGTAAAAATGAAGGAAATGATCCTTATTTCACAGGGAAGATTCCATAAGATAGGGAGATGTAGCCTCCAGTGTAATATCTGGCATATAGTAGGTGCTCAGTTAACATCAGCTCCCTTCCCCCTGCTTCTCCTCTCCCCCTCCCCGGATTTTCCTGGTCTCGGCCATTCCTGCATGATGTCCTGGTTCTAATCAGGTCTCTCAGTGACAGGCAGGCATGGACATTCTGCAGCCCAGCGTCCCTCTGACGGATGTCTACTGCTAATTCCCTAAATTTACATATCATCTTTCTCCCCTCGAGCTCACAGCACTTAACAGACAAGTGGGGCACAAACGATTTAACTCAGTGGAATTCAGAGGCCTGCTTGTCTTGAGATTCTGCAAACTAGTGGATTAGCTCAGATGTCAGCACTGAATTATGATCCCTCAGCTGCTCGTGCTTAGCACGCCACCAGCATTAACTCCTTGGTCTTCCAGTGGCCCTTTAAGTCATACATAGCGATTATCATCTTATTGGGAGGGGGTGGGGAGGGGTGCGGGTAGGAAGGGGCTGAGCTCAGGCCGGGGGAGAAGCAGTCTGTGAAACCTTTGGCCTCATTGTGCCGAAGTTTTAGCAACAGGATGGGTAAGTGCAACAGACCCAGATAACACCCAGCCAGCCCGGCTCTTTACACCTCCTCGCACATTTACTTCCTAAATCCTACCCATTATGCCAGGATTCCCCGGCCGCTTAATGTAAATTCACACAAGTGACAGTATCTCTGCCAAGCAATTTTCAGGCGGCAAGGGGGTCTTATTTGTGAAACTGTGAAGGAGGAAGGCTGAATAATAAGTCTCAGAAATCCGGCTGCCTTTGTATCAGGTAGAGACAGTCAGGGCTTGGAAAGGACTGCGGGGGGGCGGGGGAAGCATTCGCCAGAGGCTAGCTGATTCTCCCTCTGTTCTTAGTTCCAATACCTAGCCTCCTATCATTCCTCACCCATGTGTGTGTCATTCAGTCATTCATGGGAACGATATTTATTTTTAATAGTGGCGTAGACATGTCACTATCTAGGGGCCGGTGAGAAGAAGCCCTATTAAGCCTTATGTGTGTGATACCAGGACCTGTTCATCTAACTGGGGAGATAATAAAATCACACAAGAAACAGTTAAATTTTAGTATAAGGCAGCCGGTGTTTATGTGCTGAAATGCATGAAAAAAAAAAGGCCTCCAGTCTTTTTAAACACAAGGTACAACGAGTAGTACGGTCTGTAAACGCTCCAGTTGTTCAGAGGAGGGAGGTATTAATGTTGAAACGTGCCAGGAGGGTTAGGAGAAAGACTAGCCTAACAGGTGGGCTCTGCGGATTGGTCAGGGAGGGAGGCGTTACAGGTAAGAGGAGGAAGAGGAGCAGTGGGAAGCGCCTTGCATAGGGTGTGATTGATTGCCGGGCTTGGGGCAGGGTCCCTGGGCTCCGCTGAAGTGGAGGTCGTGCTGTGTGAAGGTGGGAACACTTTCCGGCTCTTCTCCTTAGTGGCCTCTCTGCCTTGGACAAGTCACCTGAACCTTTCTGAGCCTCCGTTTTTCATCCTGTGCAAAGTAAGATGAAGCAAACCAAGCTCACGCGCATATGGCAAGGATTAAATGGAATAACGCATACAAACATGCTTTGTAACCTGTACAGCATTATGCAGATGCGACATAATTATTATCATTAACAGCGGCGGTAATGAGATCTGATGGGAGAAGCATAGGTTAGAAGCGCACTGCGTGTCTGGCTGTGGCACGGGTGTCTCCTCCCTCCACAGATCACCGTCATTAACGATCTCGGCTGCAGGCAGCTGCCTGGGTCTCTGTGCTGCCTTTGGCCTTGGAGAGGTCTCATGGGGTGTCAGACAGACATGGCTTTCCCTGGTTAAGGAGACACAAAGTGGAATCCCAACTATGCATCCTCAGCCGCTCTCGTTTGATTCAGGGCGGGGGAGCTTCTAGAGCCATAATCCGGAGGCTCTACCCAGAGGGGCTTAGAGAAGAGACTCGAGATGACTGGAGGAGGGGAGGCAGGGGCTGTTTCTGATGGTGGGACTGCCGCAGGCTCAGCTCTCACGAGAAACATGATGTCAGCAGGAGTAAACCAGTGGTTTCTGAGCTCTTAAGTCCTGGCCTGTCCTTCCCCAACAAGCCCAGGTGCTCACACCCTGCTGAGTGAGAAAACCCATGCAAGTCTCCCGTTAGCACGGCCCCAAGGTGGCTGACGTGCGGGGTGCGTGTGGCAAGGGTCCCTGCCCTCCTGCGGAAGTGATCAGCCCGAGCGGCTTCAGGGCCAGCAGGAGCCAGTGAGGGTTCTCCTCAGGGGCCACCTCGCTCTCTGTACGCGTGGCCAGAACCCCCTTTCCCCGCACGAGCTGGATTTGCAGGTGCAGGTCCCACACCTGTGTCTGCAGGGCCTAAGGTCTGCAAAGTGGGGAGAGGAACTCGGTCTTTCACATCGTGTCTGATGTATCTGAAAACTCACCAGCTAAAAGGCCCATCCTCTGAACGTTTGGATGGGAGAAACCTTAACTTTCCAACATGTGTACGTCCCCTACTAAACTCATAGCCTTCGTCCATGATGACGACAGCGCCTGTGTTCCCTGGAGCTGTGTTGGCCTCGTGTGTGCGAAAGGCCAAGCTCAGGCCTCCCCAGGCCGGGCAGGGAAGGGGGTGGAGCCCGAGCATCACCCCCACTCAGCCATCATCCCCTGTTCTCTCGAAGCCGACACTAGGCGTCTGATTGACGGTCTCCCAGGCGAGCAACGCTGGCGGAGACAGAAGGCTTTAAATGTTTTCCATTTGGACAGTGCCCGGCCAAGATGACAAAGGCTCGGAGCATACACCCCCTGACCAGCGCCAGGCTCTAGTCCAGAGCCACCTCACCCCCTTGCAACGCGCGCAGTAGACTGCCTTGGCCCCTTGGGGAAGCCAGTGATGAAGGAGATGTGGGTCTGATCCCTTAGGGTCTAGAGCAGCCGTGGGCAAACTACGGCCCGCGGGCCGGATCCGGCCCGTTTGAAATGAATAAAACCAAAAAAAAAAAAAGAGACCGTACGCTTTTATGTAATGATGTTTACTTTGAATTTATATGAGTTCACACAAACACTCCATCCATGCTTTTGTTCCGGCCCTCCGGTCCAGTTTAAGAACCCATTGTGGCCCTCGAGTCAAAAAGCTTGCCCACCCCTGGGCTAGAGAGAGAAGACAAGTAGACACAACCAGCCGAGACATGGGGCCAGCCCTGCCAGGTGCCCTCCGTAAAAGTGGCTCAAAGACAGTGATGCCGAGGAATAGGCAGGAGGGACTGGCTAGACAGAAAGACTCAAGGGCCTCACGAGGACCCCATATCTGAATCAAGGCTCCGAAGGAGCCAGAGGAAGGGAGGTGGGGCCTGCCAAGCCAGGACTGAAAAAACAAGACACTCCAACGCCGGCCCCAGCTGTTCGCGGGAGGGGCAGCAGCTGCAAGCGGGTGCCTTTCCCAGGCGTTTACCAGGAACCCCTGTTTGGTTTGTTCCCCCCCAGATGACAGGAACTTCTTGCGGCTGCAGAGCGACGGGCGGAGAGAGGGCCAGTACGCGCGGCTCATCAGCCCGCCCGTGCACCTGCCCCAAAGCCCCGTGTGCATGGAGTTCCAGTACCAGGCCACGGGCGGCCGCGGGGTGGCGCTGCAGGTGGTGCGCGAAGCCAGCCAGGAGAGCAAGCTCCTCTGGGTCATCCGCGAGGACCAGGGCAGCGAGTGGAAGCACGGCCGCATCATCTTGCCCAGCTACGACATGGAGTATCAGGTGGGGTGGTGGCGGGAGCCGGTGCGGGCCTCCGCGGGTGTCCTTGTGATCTGTATTTCAATATTTCAAAGGGCTGTCTGCGCCCATTCATCATTAGGGAACGTGGTTAAGCTGCTGTTTTCATTGTGTTTCTCACGTTGCCATGGCAACTAAATGACACTCTTATTTGTTATTCAGAGTGTGCCTATCTCTACACCCAGACGTGGTTCTTTGTTCCTCCTGTTGCCTTTTATATTGCTGAAATCTTCTCCGGCAAATGTTTCTTCTCTCCATTTTAGTTTAGATTGCTATCCGGTAGGCTGACAAAGGGACACGCAAGCCAGGGAAATAAACACAAACAAACCCTCCACGCCCAGGGAAGAGGCCTGTGGAGCCGCTCAGACTCCAGGGGGGGGGGGGGGCGAGGGGAGCAATCCCAGGCCTGGCCCAGCCCCAGTGCGAGCACAGGAAGGGGACGGGTTACTCTGTGTGTGCTTCGTGGCCAGCAGACCAGAGAGACCCGGCTCTAAACTAAACGAGTGGTTTCTCTCCCCGAGGCTCCAGGAGTTGAGTTCCATTATCTCAGCCCCACAGAGCGAGAGACTGAGGCACAGATGGGTATGCACAGCTGTGGCTGAAGCTTGGGTAGAGGTGACACACTGTGGAAGAGGTGACTAAGAACCAGCCAAAGCATTAACCTGCTCCTCCCCAGACGAGAAGCAGCAACAGATGGCTGGTGAGGCAGCCAACTGCTCGCTTCGCTTGCCAGAGGACATGTGCTAGTGTGCGGAGAGAACCTGGGGAGGGGGAAGGGGGAGAGGTGGGGAAAGCCAGGGAGCAGAGGGGCACCTGTGTGCAGCCTGCAGTCACTCCGGGTTGTCAGGGGTCCCAAGTTCCTCCCCACTCCCAACCACATTCCCGCTGATAAACATCAATGCAATGTATTGTCAGTAGCTGTTTGCATTTTTGTCTCACCTGTGAGATTCCCAAAGGGGCTTGTCTATTAGTTTTTGTAGCTATCCTTGTGCCTGGCACACAGTAGGTGCACAGTAAACTATTTCCCTGCTAGTTGTCATAATGGAGCCGTGAGACAGTGTTATCCCCAAGGCAATCCAAACCTGTACACTGTATATTTCTCACCTTACCCCCACCTGCTCAGGTCTCCTGCGTTTCCAAATACCTCTGGGGTAGGCCTGTGAAAGATTTATGAGGAAGGAACCTCAAAAATGCTAGGGCACATTTCACCCTTCTTTAAACATACTCTGAACGTGTTTCTTTTCATCAATACATTCCAGTTACTAGACGACAGTGTCCATCACCTTGTAATGCATATTTTAATCCCTCAAAGATGCATTTGACTTGAACCAATAACAGAAAGCTGGGAATCCTGGCACTGGGTGGCCCGGGGAGCTCAGCTAACCGTGCCTCTGTTCTTCCGGCTTCCAGATTGTGTTCGAGGGCGTCATCGGAAAAGGACGTTCCGGAGAAATCGCCATCGATGACATCCGGATAAGCACCGACGTCCCGCTGGAGAACTGCATGGGTACGTGGCGATCCGTCTCTTTGCGGTTCTTCCAAAGGAGACGCCAAGAGCTGGGATAGACGAGAGGAGGCAGCACGCCATCTCAGACACAGTTGCTCCCCGGTGGGTGAGGCAGCGGCAGCCTGTGCCAGAGGGGAGGTGTGAGTGTAGCTGTGTCTTAGGTAGGGGTGTCTGATGAGGGGACGCCTTCGAGCCCCATTCCCATTGAGAAATAGACATGCGCTGAGTATATGGAGATTGGGGGGTGCCAGGACCCCGTCATCAGACTCCCGCTTTCAGCAAAGAAAATGCTGGAGGACGAGAACAACTGCCAGTCAGAATTACATGCTGGAGAGGTTTGATGGACTTAATGGGAGCCTTCAGTGGTGAGCAAAAATAGTCCCTGTGCCATATCAGAGTGATAGCATAATTACCCGGCAGTTCTTTTGCATGAATGAATTGCAGGGCAAACTATGGCATGTGAAGTAACATTGTAGATTTTGCTTTGAAGCGAATGCCTCTAATGGCCAAGCTCCCAGAATTATCGTAAGATGAAGCGTGGCACACCAGGTGGCCAGTATGGGAAGGGACCATGGCAGTCCCCTTAAGCAGAAGTACAGCGCAGCCAGCCCACCTCCCATATGCACCCCAGGGCATCCTGGTCATCTTCCTTCAGCCGCAGACATTCCTAAAAGCCAGAGGGAATCCCGAGAAGGAAGGGAACCCGCCTTCAGCCGGCAGGGTGACTGTAGTAACTCGCCAAGTGCTTTTCTTGGCACATGGGTCCCGGGCGTGTGCACGTGATGATGTCAGGAGCACCTGGGACCCCCAGTCCCTTCAGGCAGCTCTCAGGCCCGGGCATCTCAGAGTCAGCCAGACTCTGAGAAAGTAATCAGCGGTAAGTGGCTGATTACAATGCTTCTGGGACCCGTTACTCCATAAAGGGCTTTTTGTTCCAAAGCAACTTTGCGAAGCTCTCCCCACCCACCCGGGCCCCATGATGATGGTGTGTGAGACAGTCTGGGGCATGCGGAGGACGTGGGACGCTCTCCAAGGGGCATTATAAACAAACTCAGTCCGCGGAAGTCACCTACGCCATGCCCTGTGTTCGCCCGATTCTTTCTTCCCCTTATCTAACTCAAAATGTTTTCTGTTTGTTTTTCCAGAACCCATCTCAGCATTTGCAGGTGAGAATTTTAAAGGTAAAAAAAAAAATTTTTTTTTGCATGCCTTTTCCTTCCCCTCATGTGATGTGAATTGGATGGAGAGAATAAACCTCCAAGTGTAACAAGTCTCCTAAGAGAACATAGACACCACCCCTTCCCGCCGCTAGATGGCACCAGCAACGCCTGGAGAAGCTGGGAAAGGGGGATTGAGATCCTCCCTGTCTCCTGTTTAATTAAAGTTTAGAAACCTCTAATAGAGACAAATAGGTTACAGATAAGCCTTTCAGCCTCGCATTGTCCGACGGGGAGCAATGAGGCAGAAAATGCGTGAGTGGTGAGAAAGGAGAAGCTGTGAGCAGACTGAACAGCAACAACAACAAAAAATGGGGAGTGAATTAACAGTGAAATGATGTGGCAATGATTTATTTTAGCCTGAAGACAGGTTCTTCCCAGTCCCAACTCCAGGGTACCCAAGGCAGCGGTCTCAATTAACCTCCGGTGAGCGACAGGGGCAGGCAGTGTGGTGTGGGACGACAGTTCAAGGAGGGACTATCCATCCTAAAGAGGAGAAGCTGCAGGATTCAGGAGCTGGTGTCTAATGAGGGGAATCGGAAGGCACATTTGATGGCTGGGATTTGAGCACTTAGAGGACTGGAACACAGAAATGGACATTTTCTTCCTAATATAGTACATAAGAGCGGGTCAAAGAGAGAAGAATTTGGGATGTTTGCCTCATGGGGGGGGTGGGGGAGGGGCTCCATGCTGGGGCGATTGACCATGCATGAGACAGCCGCATTCTCGTTCTTTACGCCTGGGCTTTTATAATGCGGCGGATCTCACATGTGGGACTCTTGGCAATCCAGTTGGCTGGCGCTGCTGAAGGGCCCACCCAGGTCCCAGTGCTAAGCATTTAGAAGCCACTGGAAGCGCTCCAGCTCATGGGCCTGGTGTAGAAGCACCCTCAGAGGCCCTCACCCGCATCAAGGGACGGGTTTCTCAGAACCTGCTCTGTGCAGACAGCTGTGAGGGTGCTGGGTCCTGTTTGTACTGGCTGGGCCTCACCCCGTAGGTGACAGCACTTCAGAGATAAGGGAAGTCAGTTTTCTATCTGAGTCTAGACTCATTATCTTCACTCCCATTAATCTGTCCAGCTCGTGGCTGCAAAGAGATGGATTCCCGGTTTGTCACCTAGATGTGCTCTCTGGCTCGAAATCAGCTCGCCTAATTTGCCACTCACCCCCCACAACCTAAGACAGGAAGGGGTGGGGGGGAGCCAAACAGGAAATGACAGGCCCATACATACTGTCTTCTCTTTCTTTCTCACCTCTATTGCCCCCTTGAGCCCCATCCCCACCCCCCATTGCACATTTTGAAATTAAGAGCATTCCCGTGCCTGCGTTGGTGCTTTTTGGATGTGAGATGTATTTTCATGCGAATCTAAGTGTGAGGAGGAATTCACTCCCGATGGGCGTGGGTACCGTTGAATTCAAGGTCTAACCTTCAGGACCCAAGGTAAATCGGTGCTGGCGCGTGGAACCTGCTTCTATTGTTTCCCTGGACTCTCGTGGGTGGTTGAGACTGGAAGCTCCCAGGAAGGCTGGGCAAAGGCATCCAGCCACTGCCGGGGACAGTGCTCTGTGCGCATGCGCAGGCCCGGGTCTGTGACGGACAGGCCCATGGCCAAGGCAGGGTGCTTGGCTTCCATAGAAGAATAAACAAACGAGGCACATGTGGGCTCCTTGAGGCTGTGTGTACCAGGGAGCTTCACCATCCAGTCGTGTTCCCTTG